TCTTTATCTTTATCTTTATCTTTATCTTTCTCTTTATCTTTATATTTATCTTTATCTTTATCTTTATCTTAATCAATTGAAATTGTAAATTATGTGGTTTCCGTGTACGCATGGCATTCTGGTTTTTGGAATAACATGGAACATCCAAAGGTTAACCAAGTCAACCCAGTAATTCAAAACTGATAAATTTACACATTCATGCTCTGAATAAATGAAAAATTTGCTTAAATAAGTTCTCAACGCGTCGATACTTTTTCATATTTCTCGATACTACTCAGTGCTCATGAAAAAGGTCGATATTCTGTACTCAGCACTCGTATCGTTCTATCACTATGCACAATTATCACGTTATGCGTATTATCACGTTAGTGTATAAACTCCATTTTGTGCATAATTGAAATCATGTGAAATCAAGACGGATGGACAGACAGTCACGGCTTAATGGACTTCATTTTTCATGCTGAACATTTTATATACTATCTGCCTATATCCCCTATATTCCTTTGAAGTATGTTCACATATGTATAAATATAATCTCAATCAAAGCTCGTTTTTTAATCTCCCCGTGTACATAGACAAATCTTAGATTATTAGCTGTCAAATTTGATGAGCTTGTTATCCTCACATCTCAAGGAAGGGTTATGTTCCTTCTCGGTGCCACAGTGGTCACCTTTTCCTGCTATATTAAGCAATTTAAATATATTTTAGCTTAATATTTGTTTAAAAATACCTTTACCTTTTGGACACCGAAAAGTTACTGGTTTAATCTGAGATTATTTTATAATTGCACATTAACGAGGGACGAATTTTGTACGGATAATTACAGATTAGGGAGTTAAGCTCCTTATATATAAACCTAATATGTATATGCAGAAATTAATGCCACCTCTTTTTCTATATTGCGTAAAAATAGCTCACTAGAATAAAACGAGGTTTAATTTTTACCATGGGAGCGTGTTTAAACCGTGTTTCTAGAGTTTTTGATTTTTTTTGATTATGAGACTTTTGCAGTTCGATTTATAAAGGGTTCGCTAAATTGTAAACGTATTCATATGTATATATGTACTAATGTGCTCTCGCAACACACGAGTGAATTCATCCATATGCATGTACAATATACCCAACAAACATTTAGATTTGAGCTGAATTTGAGGTTAAGATGAGAAATAAGGTATTTCTCAAATCTCGAACGTTGTTTTTCAACAGTACCTCAACATAGCATCAGAGCGTTCTCAACAAAAGGGCATTTTTCTTTGTATGCGAATATGACTGTTTCTCCAGTTGAGAAAAAGCTAGTTCTAAACTTGAACTCCAATGTGATTCTCCAATCGGCCTCAAAAATACATTCATATCATTAAAATTCTGAAATTAAAATAATTTATAACGTTTTGATTGAAACGACATAGATAAATTTAAATATTCATTTTTTTATTCCTTTTGTAATATTTAGTTAATCAATGTCGTATTAAAATAAATCTCCTTAAAATTTAAGGGTTTTAATGTTTCCCTTTTTCTGTCTACAGTCCGACAGTACGTCTACCACTTGATTCACTTCGCGTTTTATTTTCTTTGAAGACATTCAGGGTATTCATCAAACGCATAAATGCCTCGTAACCGCGTAAAAGTGGTAAATAAACCGGTTTTCCATACAAAATTTAGTAAGGTTTATGAGGTATTTACGCATTTAGGTGAATTGCCCTCTTGTTTACTTTTTGTTGGTAATCTTCCTCATCATATAGCCTCAGTTTTTCACTTGATAATTAAAAACTCGCTTCACTCTCACTCTTAACATATCTACGCGCCCATTTTATACTTCCAAATTCATATTTTTTGCCATCGTTGCCACTTGCATATATTTGTATATCGATGGCTGAGTGGAATATCGACCTATCTCGGCAGCGAGTTTGAAATCGCCCCATCTCAGAAAAAGTTTGAAGAACGTCCTACTTTAGTATATGATTGAAGAACGCCCTATTTCAGAGTTTTATTGAAAACCACCCTATCGCAGAATTTGGATGAAGAACGCCCTATCTCAAATGAAAATACGTTGAAAATGCCCTGAGGTAGGGCGTTTTTCAACCGAGTTAAGAGATAGGGCGTTTTTCAATCAAATTCTAAAATAGTGCGTTCTTCAAACAAATTCGGAAATACGGCGTTGTTGGAAAGTTTTTTGAGATAGGGCGTTTTCGAACTGGTTGCCGAGATAGGATAGAAAAAATATACCCCTATTTTTTTTTTTGAAATCAAAAAATATTTAGAGGTCGCTCAAAGCGCCCAAAGTTGTCCATGTATTTTATATGGAGGAAAAAAACTTTTTGTAGAAATGGTATAGAATTCTTAATAAATATTTTGCTATCGGAAAACTCTGTTTACCTGCGGGAGATTCTCAGTAATAATACCCAATTGTTTATTTAACCATTTTTTCTTCGCAACTATAATTTATAGGTCTCAACTAAAACCCACAAAAACCCCGAAAAATGCAATAGGCGGACCAATAAAAAATCGTTAGTATTAAAAAATGGTTAAATAGACAATTGGGTATTATTATTGAAAGTCTCCTGAAGAGAACCAGAGTTTTCCGATCGAAAGATATTGATTTTCAAGAATTCTATACCATTTCTACGAAAAGTTGTTTTCTTTCTCATATAAAAATACATGGAAAACTTTGAGCGCTTTTTGTTTTCCAACTAAAAAAATAGGGATCTATTTTTTTCGATATAGAAAAATCCTGAGAGCATTACAATTCCGACTTTACTGTTTTTGGCCCACCCTAATGTACATACATACATATATATGTATGCACTGCGCTGTCAATTTACCAAAGTACTCATATGGGCGTGTGGGCATCATTCACACTCTGCTCAATTTCTTATTAAACTGGATTTTAAGTTGTTTAACCACACTTCGATAAAGCTAAAAAAGTATTAACCGGTTTGGAAATGAACGTGGCTTAGCTCGATGCAAGTCTTCAAAAGTTGGAATCACAGACAAAGAAAAATAGTTTGTATTCAGTTGCGGTACAGTGCAGAAGAACGGTGACAAAACGCTCCGATTTATTATTGCAACATTTAAGGCTGTGAATATTAGTGAAGAAAATCAAAAAACCAAAACTTTTTGAAAATGAAACAGAAATTTATGAATTTGGCGCTAGGTACCCTAACACTATTTGTTGCAGCAGAAAGTGAGTGATTTACGGATTTCATATATTTATATTAAATTATCTTTTTCATATACATATGTATGTATGTATAGCTGTGAGTATAATAAAAGTAGCAAAATTCAAAATGATGATGCTGGCAATCTAAAATGCTCTAAAAAACTAACGGCAATTTTAAGCAACGTGAAACCTGCACTTTATTTTTTATAGGTACTAGGTTGTTTCCGGCACAATCCGGACCGGGTCCGGTAATTAGAGAGTGAGCGAAAAGTTTGCTATCTAAAATGGTACAATGTCCAGAATTACGGGAAACGCAAAAAACCACATTTGGTTCCCAGAATTTGAGAAACCGTTGAATTGAATTTTGGTTTCACCATTTTGATTGTAATTGATAAACAAGTACATATACACACATAAAAAGACTGAAAATATATCAACAAGCCATTCACTATTCCTTAAAATCACAAAGCAAATGCAAGCAACATGTAAACAACACAACAGCTGGAATGTACTTTGACACTTTATTAATTTTTTACCTGGAGAAAAAGTCCGGGCTGTTTAGGGTAGGAAGAAGAAAACAGTTACGATCCAATACGTTCGTTTGAGTACGGGATTCATTTCTGGGCTGTTTTAGAATCCCGCGGGATCCCGCGTTGAGTACGGGAAAGAACCCATGAGTTGAATGGACTACAAAACTGCATACTCAAATGTTTCGAAGCTATCAAATTATAAAACTCGAAAATTTGATGAACATTTCTTGATTAAGTTTTGTTAACTTGGTGCAAGCTTTGAAACTTCTATTTACATATGTTGTTTCTGTCATAGTTCGAACTTTATTTTACATTAAAATTATTATAAAGTAATAGATAATCATAAATTTCCAACAACATCATTTTGTATTATTTCACTTGCAGCTAGATGTATGTACTAGTAATGCCCGTATTAGCGGAAAATTGTGATCCCGGGATTTCGGAATATTTTTAAAGTAATCCCAGGAGACATAACTTTTATGAGTATGAGTAAAAATTCAATAACTGAAAACATTTAAACATACCGTAAAATAAATCTATTTAAAATTTACGACAAACTGATTTTAAAAATCACGTACATATTTATTAATACAGACAAATCTTAAAGTATCTGGTAAATTTTTAAATTGTATTTAAAAAGCTATGTGATTGTGGAATAAAAATACATAAAAGATACACAAAAATAAAACCTCTTGACGTGTTTATTTTAGTCAATAAAAGAAACATAAGTAATGGTATATAACTAAAGTCATATTAAAAAAAAGATTAATTATTATAATTGCATTTACAATGCGTACGTATGTAAGAGCAGCAAAGCATTCAAAGTGGAGTCTTCTAATCTTAACCTGAACATGTTACATACAAAACCTACTCATGAAAAACATTTTTCGGCCTCAACACTTGCCGGCTGAACTGTAGGTAATCATAGCCATTTGAACATAATTACCCCTATCTCCTCCATTACAAAATATTTCACAACTTATTTTACCAGCTTTTTTGCCTGATTTGTAAAAAAAAATTAAAAAATAAAAGCTTACTCCGTACGGCTGAATGGGTTGATTTATTTGTAAATATTACCTAGTAATCAAGTTTCCAATTCAAAGCAATTTACGCCATATTGTACAACTGCATTAAAACAAGTTTCTTGGAAATTGAAAGGCTTTTATTGTAATCAATTCGATATTTAAAATTCTAGAGATCCCGGGATTAATACAGGCAAATCCCGGAATTTTCGGAACCTGAAAAGCACTGATATCCCTAGAATGTACTAGCGACATACATAGTTTTCAGTTATACACATTTATATCGAGTTGTTGATTCCCCATACGTTGGTTGAAATGAAAGTGAGAAATACATTTTTATACTACTTGGTTATGTTTTTCATAATTATAACAATATGCGCGTTCCTTATCTCCCAGAAATAGTCAGAAAAAGTCCGAAGTAGTCAGATTTAGTCCAAAAAGCGTTCCTTAACTCGGAAATGACAGCAAAAATGAGAGAGCAACAGTCAGTGAGAGCGACTCTCATCAGTCCGAAGTAGTCAGATTTAGTCAGAAGAATTTTTTCTGGCAAAATCCTGAAAAGTGTCAAACTCAACTGAATTTAAATTAACGGAAATTAAAGAATACGCAAAAAGTGAGAATAATCTAAAAAGTAAAAGAAATGAATTGAAATTGGAAGGAGGCAAAAAATAATTGATATAGCAAGTGTTTATTGTGCTTGTGCTTGTGTGAATGTGTTTTGTACATACATTTCTGTTCTTATTTGACGTTAGTTTTGTTGTTGCCATTCTTTGGACTAAAAATTTGGTTTTTTGCGTTCCTTTACTTTTCCTGTTACTCTCTTTTAGTGAGCGCATTTTGCTTACGCTCTGGCATTTTGACACTTTTCAGATTTTAGTCCAAAAAGATAAGGAATGAACCTAATATATAATAATTTTTAGAAGTTAGTTCCACTTCTTCTTCTTATCCGCTATGTTAGCTATCTGACAGAAAACGTGTTTCGTATTTTTTGTTGTACCAAGTTTAAAAAAAATACAGCTTTTGACGTTGGAAAAATAAAACAAAGGAACGCCAAACATATTAAAGATATTTTTCAATATTTTTAAATAATTTTCTTCACACAAAATTAAGAAAAATTAACTGCTGCTTCCATGGATATGGAATAGGTAAAAGGACGCAGTTATAAGAACCACCGCACACCACAGAATTTATCGGCCGCCTAGTTAAATAGTAGGGCTCACTTGAAATATGTACCCTGTAGGATATCGGAATAGACTTAGAGCACACCAAAAACTAGACTGCAAGTGATTGTAAGTAGTCCAAAGTTTGGTCCTGGAACATGTAAAATTCTATTTACATTTGACATTGAATGTCCTAGGCTCGGACCAATTGTCCGCTTCTGCATTACATTGTAACCAATTTTGGGAGGAAAAAATAACACAAAAATAAAATTTGCGCCAGCTGCGATTCGAACTGGGGTTCTCTGATTTTCTTAGTGGATACTCCACTACACGCCAACGCCGCACATGAAAATTAGTTGGCTAAGTGCCTACATATATGCCTGACATTGTAACCAATTTTATAACAAACCTCATACCTTATGCATTACATTCTGACCACTTTTAGAACAATTCACCTGTTTTACAGTACATTGCTTTAAATTTTTGGACAATCTTTGGTCTAGATACCAAACTACTATGCCTACGACTATATTTTTCAAGCAATTGGAACAATCTTTACTTCAGGGTACATGAAGATTTATGGCGGTGCGCACACTACACAACCTTACTCGCTCCGACCAAGTAGTTGTAGAGCAATGGCAAGACTGGCGAGCCCAACTAAATCGGTGGCCGATAAAGTCCGTGGTGTGCGATGCATCTAAAACATTTTAAACAAGAAATATTGCCGTCACATTTTCGGTTTTATGATTTTTATTCATGTAATTAGCAGTGGCATGTATGTATTAAATACGTATACATATGTATATTAAAAACGAAGTGATCAGTTATGAAATATATAAATCTTTACATGTTCTTTAAAAAATATCTAAAATAACGAGTGAAAATCCCCAAGTTCTATATCATAGCAGTGGCCACATTTTGTGTTTGTCACAGACACGGTTTATATCAAAAATTTTGAAGTGAAACTACCTTCCAAAAATTATTGAATCATGTTATAACTATAATGCGATTTAGAAATATACTGAGCGAACGGGAATTCCACAAATATAGAGTATAATAAAAAAACGTGTCATATAACCTTGTACTACTCGTTATTGTGAGACATATATGTACTACAAATGATGAAACTGAAGATTTAACATAAAAATAAGTGATCAAAAACTTGTTTGATCGTCCTCATTTCACTAAGCAACAGAAAATCAGCAAGCAAGCAATTAGCATAGAAATTGTAACTTTGCATAGCTGTCGTGTTTGTGGACATGTATGTACCAATGTATGTATGTATATACTTATGTATGTATATAAGCACATATTATCATTAACTATTTAGTGCAGATACTTAAATACATACATACTAGCATAAACAGAAAATTTACATATCCACATACATAATTAAGTGGGATTTTGTACATATGGACTTTGGCATACATACTGTAAGAGTATATAGTATACCTGCACTAAACATTAAGTTAAGTTATTGTAAACTAGACATACGGTGTTTTGTGTCTATATCATTAGTGACAGAGTTATGGGTCTAGCCCTTAAGGCATGACCGACATGGAACTCAATGTAGTCAGCGTAGAAAAGATTTCACTGATGCAGCCAAAATGCATGGAAATGTACATCGATTTTTTTCGATGCATCGAAGAGCATACATCGATACATGGATTTGCATAGAATTTTTAGATAATGTTTCACAACAAAGTATGTTATTAGCAAAATTATACAACGTCAGAAATAAATTAAGAATAAATAATAGGGAATTTACATGATTCAACTTTCACAGGCAATTAGTTGAATCAAAAGTTGAACGAAAGTAGGCAGCCGACCAACTTCATTCAAAGGCCGTTTACACCAGGCGATTGTTGCTTTCAACTAAAAGTTGCCTGAAAAATCTCCTAATAATAATAATAATAATAATAATCTTAATAAGTATTGCAACCCTGGTTAGCAGTAAGCAATACAGAGATTGGTGTTATTGGGCGCGTTCATAAGACGTAGCTGTTTAGCTCAACTGCTACGAAACTTCTGGCAATTGTTGGGCCCAACAATTACGTCTTAGAAACGGCTTGATGAATATGCTGCCACATGAACAGCTGGTAAATGTAAACAAATGAAATTGCAACAAATAGAGATAGTTGCGCCGAACTATTAAGAATTCAACGCTGAGCGGCCGCCGTGTTGAAAAAATCGTTCAATGTTACAATGAATTAAACAGTGGGAAATTATATAGCAAACATCTTTAAAACATATATTTAGAAACTTAGTATTATTATAAAATATTCTACTTATTTCATCACATCTCTTCTTCT